CCTTTCTATTTCTTTATTCTGATCAACAACTCCTATTCTGCCAATTTTGATTAAATCATCCGGGCACAGGAGATTTTCACTTCCATGAACTACATTTATTTTCTTTTTCCTCCAAACATCTTTATTTCTGGAATTACCATCAAAATCTTCTACTGTAATTATTTCCACAAATTCGTCGTGTTTTTCTGTGGGTTTTATGACCGTGAACTCAGCTCCTTTATCCACGATAAAAGTAGTATCATCATACGTTTTGTATAATCGTTGATCAATTTCTTTTGCTTTTAATAGGGCTTTCTTAAGGGGAGCCGAAGCCTGCTATTCCTCCTTAACCTCAGCGTCTTTGTTTTTGTTTCTCTTTCTCTTGACTTGCACTTCCTCTGTTTCTGCAGGGGCTCTTTCCTGCGTGTCATGTATTTTGACTCTGCCTATTTTAGCCTCAGGCCTGTTTTTTCCCCTTTCTGCTATGATCCGTGCCCTTTCTTCAGCACTCAATTTGTTCCATTTTTCGGGACTTATGTAATTCCCTTTTTCCCTATTACTATCATTTCGATTTGTTCTAGGTCTCGATTGATCCCTAAATCGCCTTTCTCCCTGCGATGTATTTTTTGGGCTGTTTCTTTCTGCCCTCTCTGGCCCCTTTTTCCATTTTTCGTCTGCTCTGCGCTCTGTGCGAGGGAAGGGTCTGCTCTCTCTCTCATGGCGATTATACGGCCTTCTTTCGCGGCTTGACCGCCTGGGCGGGTCCTTCTGCCGCGGTGGTTTATTATTAGATTTTTCCCTGTCTGTCTGAATTATTTCAGTTTTCCTGTCATATCGAATTAAAGCCTTCTCTAATTCTTCTGGAGAAGTCTCGGGACCATAAAGGAGAAATTATTTTGCCCCCACCAGAGCATTTCTTTTTACTCCCTGGAAAATATGTTTCAAGATCCCCTCGACGCCTTTTACAGCTATTTCCTGACAGGCTGTTAAAGAGCCTACTGTTCGCCATTTCTCCTCAAATCGTTCTTGTTCGACTTCATCTTTATTAGTAGGTATTAACCCTTCAAGGGTCTTAGCTAATTTCCTACCTCCGTGCAGTCCAAACTCGGCTAAAATATGTGAGTCTATTGACTTAGTAATGGAGTAATTTAACGCGTTATAATTTTCAAAAAAGTAATAAGAGTACAGTTACAAGCCGAGGTCTCTATACATTACCGCCGCGTTACATCATTGCTGACAGAATGCAGTGTTTTATAATCTAGATTGTAAAAATGGTGTAGCACACACACTGTCGAGTCCAGTGCCAGTGGATTAGAGATCTGCTCCCGCGAGACCCGACGCAACAGTGTGGCGCGGGACAAGACTTGATAGGCGAGTGCTGGTGCGGGCGGGTAGACACTCGTGTGAGTGCGGGATGCGGGATAATAAAATGATTCACGGGACTCCCGTAAAATAGAAATATCTAAACATAAAATATCTAAAACAAATAAATTGTTATACATCTATTGCACAAAAGCAACAAGAACTAATATAAAATATAAACGATTAGCAGGCGCAAGCATAGGCAGAGTTTCTATTTAGGCTATAACACGTGTTTGCAGCCTTGAGCAATATTGATTTCTGGAATGCAGTGGCCAAATGTTGATGCTTTAATAACAAATATTTATCAGGAGCGTTTATGCTGGGATTTCATAAATTTCATGGATGTAGTCACAGAAAAAAGTAACATAACTAGTAATGTAACTAATTACTTTTAAAATAAAGTAATCAGAACAGTAACATGATTACTTTTAAAAGGAGTAATTAGTAATCAGTAATTTAATTACATTTTCAGAATAACTTGCCCAACACTGTCCAAGACCAAGTCCTATCTATTTGAATGGGGGAATCCTGAAATCTGAAAAACTGCTTGCTGAAGTCACAATTAAATAACATATTTCAAACCAGCAACAAAATCTGACACGAACTGTCCCATAAAAGTTGTTTCCTATACTCAAATAGCGTTTAAAAAGCTTATTTTTCAGGCGGGACTAGCTAATGCGCATGTGCAGTCCTAAGCACGAGTCTCGGGTTTCTATGGGAACCGGAGCTTCTAACAGCCACTGCAGTGAAGCAACGACTTGACCAATCAGCGATTGGCTCTTTCATTTAGAAGGCGGGACTATTCTGCCATATTACGCGTTGCAGTTTCTCCCATTCATAAGTACAGGAGTGAACCGTCTTTGTATATCTATTGTCTTTGGCTCTGCACAGTTTAGCTCCAACCCTAATCAAACACACCTGATCCAGCTAATCAAGTTCTTTAGGATTACTAGAAACTTCCAAGCAAGTGCGAGTTGGAGCTGGTTGGAGCTAAACTGTGTAGAGCTGCGACTATAGCAATCAGTGATTGGCTCTTGCATTTAGAAGGCGGGACTATTCCGCTATGTTGCGCGTTGCAGTTTCTCCCATTCATAAGTACAGGAGTGAACCGTCTTTGTATATCTATAGTCTTTGGCTCTGCACAGTTTAGCTCTAACCCTAATCAAACACACCTGATCCAGCTAATCAAGTTCTTTAGGATTACTAGAAACTTCCAAGCAAGTGCGAGTTGGAGCTGGTTGGAGCTAAACTGTGTAGAGCTGCGGCCCTCCAGGAATTGAGTTTGAGACCACTGATTTAAAAGAAAGTATAAAAGGCAAAACCACCAAACTACCGGTGTCGTTATCGGTATCGGGAGATATCACTCTGAATAATCGGATATCGGTCTCGGTGGAGAAATTTACTATCGGTGCATCTCTAGAAAATAATCAATACATTAATTTCAATTGTTACATTGGTTTATGGCCCATGTTTGTACAATGCCTCATTGATTATTCATCTTCTCTCATCTTTAGAATTGCTTAATTTTGCCCCCACAGACAGCTATTTGATCTTTATGTTGGCTGAAGCTTTTTAACAGGAAATGTCTTCACAACTGAAACCCAGAGGACTGACCTAGGTATCAAAAACATTGTAGACAGATAGTGTATACAATAGTTTTGCAATAAATTGACTTGTATAATACAAGTGCTGTGTTTTTATGTAGTTTAACTTCTATGCATATAAATATGAGGAATTAAAGGCTGAAATTCTAAACTCTCTTGCATTATGCATATTTTGATCTCAAAACAAAATATAATTGCATATGATGACTCGACTTTAGTGTTTCAATAGTTTTGGACAATCTATTTCTGCCCCTGGTCTCCTCTGTATTGTAGTGAAATGGATGGCAATTCACGGACGAGGAGGAGGAGAGTCAAAGTCAGAGTGCAGCAGCATTTATTGAGTCTTGCAATGGAGGCTATAGAGCAGGCAGATCAGGCTGTGAACCAGGAAGTGCAAAATATCAAGAAAGATGTGAAGGACAATGCTGAGGAAGCTGAAAATCTGGATTTTGATGTCGATACTGAAGTTGATGACTTGTATATGGCTAGTGATCCTGATGAAGATTTTTGCTCTGATAATCCTGAAGAGGACCCCCATAGTGATGCTAAAAGGAAACTGGCTGAATGGGCAGCTAACCGAAATGTGTCTCATGCTGCACTTTCAGAACTATTAGGTATACTTCTGGAGCTAGGACTGGATTTACCAAAGGATCCCAGAACTCTCCTGAGTACACTGAAAGAATGTGATGTGAAAGAAATGGGTCAGGGTAGCTACTACCATTTTGGCCTTATTTAAAGTGCACTGTGGATTTAATTCTTGGCATGATTGCATTGTACAACAGTAGATTATTCATTTTTGCAATATGCATTTTTATTAAACATTGAAAAATACTATTTTAAATTTTTATATGTGATATGTAATCTGTATATAACATTTTTATGTTTTAGATGTTATGTCAGTGAAATTTTTATTCTGAAAATTTTATTAAAAAATTTGTTAGTAAATTATATAATTGCAGGTAAGTACTTGTGTCCATGTTTTAAACCCTGTAGACTAAAATAAAATATAAACAGACAGTAAGTTTATCCTGCAGGAATAGTGGCCTGTTTAATATGAGTCCTGCAGGAATGAGCAAGATGATTCCTGCACAAGGCTTAAAAAAATCTAAATTTTCCTACAGATATATATTTAATCCTACAGGAATTCAAAATTCCTGTATGTAGTGGGGCGGTCCTGCAGGACAAACGTGTGGACAATCCTGCAGGACTCCTGTAGGAATGTCTCTGTCCTGAAGGAATTTAGTTCTGTCCTGCAGGATTCCTGCATGATCCCTGCACAGAAAGCAGCATTCCTTCAGGAATTCCTGCAGGATATTTTTGTAAGGGCTTTAGTGTTTCGTTTCCAAATTAAGGATGATAATGGACAGTTTTCTTAACGAGTGTTTGGACAAAAATAGTCTGGCAATTAATTGCATATTTATGGAGATTTTTTTTTATTTAATTTGTTATCATGTACCTGCTGTGCAATATTTTTTAGTCAATTTATTTGCTTTGGTTTGATTTTGTAAAAGCAAAGCACAGCTAATATAATGGCTTTGCTACTTACAACACATAATTGTGAATAACATGCCTTACCTTAACACAGAGTCCAACGTTTATATTTTTTCTATGAGTCTTTGAGTTAACGTACTAAACATGAGTGGAATTTGCACCGCAGCGCCCCCACACCTTGATGCTCATGACAAGAATAGCATGTATAGTTATCTTTATTGAAGTGAATTAGGTTAAAATCGCCGTCATGCATGAATGAATGATATTTTTGCAATTTTACACATAATAATCCACGATGATCACATTACACAAAACTGAAATTGCACGTCAAAATAACACATTGTCAATATTTTTTGAGACCCCCCAAAATTTAACAAATCACGTTTTCAGGGGAGCCCATATCTTATTAAGGGGAGCCGAGCTCCCCCTAGCTCCCCCGTAGTTCGCACCCTGTTTCTATTACAGGTTTAGGTCTTAAATTTCATATAAGGTGGTATTAAAAAGGTCTTAAAAAGTCTTAAATTTAACGTGTTCAAGTCTGCAGAAACCCTGGTTTTACAGCCACTTATTCCAAAGCCAGGGCTAAACTCCACCAAGCTGAATATTCATCAGACTTGACAGATACAGAAAATATCTCAAGAAAAAGAAGGTAGGTGTTTGTGGAGCAATGCAGGCCAAATTCCATGCCTACTAGAAATAATAAGAAATAGGGCTGGGTGATACAGCTAAACAATTTATCACAATATGTTTTGTGTCATTCGGTATCGATAACTTAGAGCTGCACAATTCTGAATAAATTGAAAAACACCTATTTGTTTGCTGTGATCATGATTCTGAACTATTACTGGAGGCTCTGACAAAATATTGATGCAGTGTAATTTCACATTTGCAATTAATTTAAATTCATTGTTTAAAAAACATCAGTTTGAATGTATGATTCAATGATTCGCTCATAAATACTTTTGTTTCATTACTGGATGAATCAGTGTATTTGAAATAATCTGTTGAATGAAGATTCAATTTAAAAAAAAAATGTTTAAACAGTCACTTGTCACCACCTGGTGGTGAAACAATGTAATCAATAAATGGTTATTTTAAGTGCCAAATTTCTTTCAAAATCTGATTTGCTCTATTTTAATTTTTAATTGTAATTTATTTTAAACCAAGAAACTGGCACACTGACGAGCTGACATGTCCTTTTTTATTCACAGTCTCCTTGTTGCCGGCAGGTACCGTACTCAGTTTCATGTGTTTGTGTGTTCTGATTTCACATGCCGATTGTGTGACCCAACACAGCAACACAACTTTTTGGCTTTTCACTCGTAGTACTCGCCTTCTTCAAGGCATTTGATAGATTGTTTGTGATCCAGGGATGGTGCACGATTAAGGGTTGTAAATACAACCAAACTTCGTGTCTGTTTAAATTTTAGTGCATGTAAGTTAAACTGTATTGAGTTATATCGAAAAAATTTTCTATTGTTATCGATGAAGGCAGATCGTCAATAAATATCGATACCGTTTTATCGCCCAGGCCCAATATAAAAACAGTAGGTAAGGTGTGCCTTATATGTTTGTGTTAACTTCTGTAGGCCAAGTGCAAAACTTCTCCAGAGTCAACTGAGCACCCAGTTGGAATCAAGTGAGCATTCAGACTCTTCAGAGGAGCTTCCACCCACTCCACCAAACCAACTCCTTTGGCCAGCAAAGAAAGTGAGCAACTACTTTCAGAACCCCACTGACCAACATGTTGCCAGCTATACTCCCCTACGTAACACCAGTCATGCTGCCCAACAAGGTGCCAGCACCACAAACCGAGGCGTTACCAGCCCCACAGCCACAGTTACCAGCCCTAGAGACCAAGGAGTTACCACCCCAACAGCCACAGTTACCAGCCCCACAGCCCAAGGAGTTACCAGCGCAACACCCCAAGGAGTTAGCAGCTCCATAACCCGTAGCGCTACCAGCCCCACAGCCACAATTACCAGCCCTACTTGTGAAGCCATGTTCACTAAGCTTCTAAGATTGTCAGAAGCTTACTTAACGTAAGCTTTTAGTAATAAATGAAAAGCAATCTTTTTTTTGCTGATCTGAAAAATGATCCGATCCGTGAATCAAAATCTGTAGTATGATCTGAACCGTGAGTTTTGTGATCCGTTGCACCACTAATGTGTATGTACCAAGAGCTCCTGTAAAACCACAAATTCACACTTGGCAAATAAAGCTGATTCTGATTCTGATAAAACTTGCTTACATGTTTCACTTTTTGTAAGAAAGCACCCCTACAACAACTGAAACTAAACAGTAGTGTTTTACTCTAGGATTACATAAAAATGTAATTTTAACATCAGTTTAAGAACTGAAT